GGGTGGTTGAGTGGTTTGGCAGGTTTTTTTCTTGCCCTGCGTCTTTTCTTCCTTCTGCAATTTTTGTTTTTACCCAAAATAGAAGGGGGGGGGAAGGGGGGCCCTCCCCTAGATCCGCCACTGACTTCTGTGCAAAAATTACATTAACACTTACTAGTAAAATTTAGCTCTTTGGGTTTAAAATTAAGTCATATGTTGGCTTTCAAAGGGTCAAATTCCGATGATGGAATAGCTCACCGTGCAATGCCCTCTCAATATCCTGTTCTAGGACTGATATTTCTGTAGCTTGATCAGAGTGAATCGTTTGTGCTAATGAGACAAATGGTGTAAACAAAGATTCTCCTATAAGTTAGACTTCAGCAAGACTGTAGTTCAACGTTTGAATCAACGTCGGGCTAGAGTCGGGTAACAGGACAGGCTCAGTCACGCTACTCGACTTTGGCGCGACTTTGATTCAAACGTCGAGTTACACTTGTTTCGCGCTAAGTGGCACCTATGAGCCAACCGGCTCTCTTCGCTCTCTTCAGTCCGATGTAGCAGGATGATCAGTGATACAATAAGGTAGTTCTTTGGTAATGTTATTTTTGTCAGTTTTAATTGAAAATTGTTCATGGAAGAATAAGCACTTAATGACTGGCCCCGAAGGAAACAGTGAGTTTTGTTTCCCAGAGACCCTCAATGTTCCCCGAGGCGAATCCGAGGGGAACATTGAGGTCGAGGGGAAACAAAACTCACTGTTTCCCGCGGGACCAGTCATAAAGTGTTTTGTTATACCTCCCAACTCAAAAAATAGAAAAAAACAGACAAACAAACAAACCAAAAATGCAAGGAAATTGTTTGCTTGACTCCGGCTGGCTCACAAATTTGCCGCGGTTTTAAGGAGAACGACCTTATCACGTGCGAGTCGGTTCAAGTTGTTGTTTCCTTAGGGAGTTCGTGAGTTTTGTTCGCCCTAGGGAATTGGTTAGTTTTGACCCACGACACGTGTCACGTTCTCCTCCAATCGTTAAAGGTATTTGAGTTGGGAGGTATGTTGAAAAACTTCACTGGCAGATCCGCGGGTCATCCCGTACTTTTCCCGCCCTTTATACGCCGTAGACATTACCCAGAATGCTCTTGTGGGTAATCTTTGTTTTGACAAGCTTCAAGACCCTTCAAGATGGCGTTGTTCGAAGCTTGTGCGAAACAGTTTGTAAAAGATACAGGGCGATCTACGCTTTTTCCTGTTCTTGATTTAAACACTTCTGCGCGTTGTGATATTCTTTGTGTTGTGACGAAGAAGAGGAGTCGTTGGCTCTGGAAGTCAGACAAATATAAAACAACTCCTTTCTCCTTGAACGAGCTTTTGACAAAGGTAAGCCGAAGGAAATTTAAGCTTAATTAAGCTTGCAGTGAAGGAAAATCGCTAAAGGTTTTCGCATTAAAAGTGGCAATCTAAGCTTCACAGAAACTCCAGGCCATTCCTTGCAATTTCGGTTGAGCTTGGGGAGATCGTGGCGTTTTTACATGAATAGGTTTGTCACTTATTTCCCTTGTTTGGCTACGCTCTGCCCATAAGGGACGGACCATTAGAAAAGTGATGGTGTGTGGCGGGGAAGTGGGACTTTTTCAGCTTGCAGGAATTTTTTTCACGTCCACTGCCTCTGCAAGATTTTTTTTCGGGGTCAAGTCCCCTGCACAAATTTTTTCTTTGTTGGGGATGGGGAGATATTCTACTGTCGCAATCTTAATCGTCACTGGCCACAATTTGATTGCCTGGAACAGGCTTGAAACAAATATTTTTTTAATCTTTCACACAGTCGTTTTGCTTTACTGTCAAAATTATACTCAGGAGGAAACATAACCAAGTAACAGACACATTTAGAAGCAGTTATTGCCCAACTGATGGGGTTGCTTTGCATTTTTTGTTTGATGTCTAGGGAAATAACAATTTTATTTATTCCCTCCCCTTTCAATAAAATTCATTCTTGGCATGCAGTGAATCAAGGTTTAACCAGGATTCTGTGAGTGGCTGCCCAGTAACCATGATATGGGGCCAAAGGGCCTATTCTGCCAGGAGGGTCTGGGAGTATGTCCCCCCTCAGAAAATTTCGCAAAAGTTAAGCGTTGTTGGTGCGTTTTCCATGATTTTCAGCCGATAAATTTAATGTATTTATTGGACTTAAATGATAATGTGTCGTTTAGATTGAAACAGCCCATACTAAACACATCAGTTGTGTTGACACCTCCATGATTGTCTTTTACAACGTTTGTCCAACGTTGATCTTAGCAGTCATCTTAGGGGAAGTGTCACGGTTCGCCATGGGTGTGCGCATTTGTGTCCACAATCGTCATTTATACATGTCAGTTGTGAAATCACTGCTATATATATGTTGAGGCTTTTATCACTTTTAAGCCATGGTTATCCGTAAGGGTTTTTCTGCAAGGATGTTTGGCTAGCAGTGTCCATGGTGAGGTTGCTGCGCACAAAATGTATTAGCCTTGAAAGGGAAAAATGTCCGTCTTGCTAGTATTTGTAGAGAAAACCAGGTGAATGGGGATTACACCAGGACCAAGAAATTAAAACTGCAATATAAAGTGGCTGACAAGGTACCCTTCAGGCGAGTACAATTTGTAAGCCTGAGAGCCCAATTCACTCTGCAGGAATTGTTTTTTCTTCACTTCTCCTTTGCACAATTTTTTTTTTCAGTCACCCTCCCTTGCATGAAATTTTTTTTTTGCTTTTTTCCCACCACCACCCTCATCATTTTTCTAATGGTCCGTCCCTAAGCTTAGTATTTTGCCCATTTATTACTACTGGTAAATAATTTGTACAAGCTTCAGTAATGATGGTGGTGATGATGATAATTTATTAATTTATATTGCGCTTTTTAACATGCAATGATCAAAAGCACATTACAATATTAAAATGTAGTACAATTTCCAGAGGTGAATATAAGAATTGGACATTCTGATTGGTCGAAAAGCACATCATATGACGCTATATTCACCCTGCTAGAGCTTGGTTACTAAGCTTGCCATCTTTGCCAACTCGGCAAGTAAACATGGCAGACAATTGCTGAATGAAGTTTTCATTTATTTGAAAGACATCACTCCAAGTCCAGGATATTTGAAAAGATGGAAAATTTTCAAAATGACTGCTGTCGCACTTAGACCAAAACTCTTTGCAAGAACTCATATTCAAGGCTTCTAAGAATGGTAAACACAGTGGTTGCATCGATCACCAGCAGGTCAGATCGACTGACCAAAATATAATTTTCTTCAAACTAAAGCTACTCATTTTTAGGCAATGATGACAACTGTGAATGAAGTCAACAATGATAAAACATAGGTACTGGATGAACTTATTTTTCGAAGTGTTTCGTTCATTTGTTTTACTGCTGAACTCGATGAGTAAAACTGATTCACAATTGATGTACATGTATGTAAGCTTATTATTAAAACTATGGCTGCATACGTGTATGCACACGAACAATTGTGTCTGTGTTTTTATGTTTTAGTCCGTTATTTTGTAGTCCTTGATATTCACCTCTGAAAATTATACTAAAACAATTATTCCGCTCAGGCTCAGTGAACATTGGTGAATAATTGTTAAATACTAAATATGTACATAAACTAAATTTAATTTTCAATGTTTGGGCAGCTTTTACACTCGCTAAGTGAAGTTCTCTCGGTGCAATTTTTAGAAAGTGTCACACCTCAAAAATGCCCCAAATCCTATTTTGAAAGACTGGAACTATCTCAGTTTCCAATGGCCAGTTCAGTACAAAGCCCCACCCTTCACCTGTACCCAAGGGAACGGATAAATGCTAGTCATTCCCAGTCCCTTATAGCTGTCTCAAATTCTCTGTCTTTTCTTCAGTAATCTCCACCTTGTCCATGATAGGGTGGGAGAACTGACCTGAAGGAGGAGAAGGGGTACTTGATAAGAAGAAGGCTCCATCTGACTGTTGAGTCAGTGATGTATTTAGACTAACCTGAGTCCTATTGCTGGTTTGCAGTGTCACATCATCAAAAATAATCGTAACCATTCAATGTATTAACTCAACAATCTGGGATATGATAGATGATTGTTATATAAACAACACGTGTTATTTGGAGAAGTGTTTCACCCAAATTTATAGAGCTTTGTATGGAGACTGTGACCATGTTGGTGCCCCTCGGAGGGACACAAACTTGGCGGCGTTAAAGTAACAGAAACATCTGTCATTGAGTTTTGCTATTTAAATGAAAAGTTATTACTCTAGAGCTCTGACACATTGAAATTAATACTTCTCCTAGAGCAAGAACTGTTCAGTTAGCAAAAACTTACACAATGACTCATCTTTTGACCTATGCAAGAGCCTTCTCGGGCTGCCATTCGATGTCGTGCAACACATAAACTTGGAAATTTAAACACGCTCTGTTACAAAATGAACAATGCTGTTGAGATTAAACGTCGTAGAACGCCAAGTTATTAGAGAGTCTTACATTTGATGAAACTAAATTTTCAATTTTGGAAAATGATGACATCACTTGAAAACTGGCATTTTGAGCTAACTGGAGTGCTATTAAGGTGACTCCCTATAGTTTTACGATCGCACACGCACTGAGGACAGAAGCTCAGGTAATCTGTGTCACCTCAAAGGAAAATGTCAAAGTTTTTCGATATTTTATGACATCAACATGAGCAAAAAAGGCAAAACTGACACTGAATTTTCTTGCATTTCCTTTGGTGAAATTCCGTAAAATTTGGCAGAGTGGTAGTAAATATTTTACTTTAGTTGGAGCTCGTTTTTTAGGGAAATCTATAAGACCAAGGTTTTTTGCAGTGGTAAAAGACATAAATTTGAAAAAATCGAAAAAATTGCCTTTAAAAACCCTACTTTGTCTGCGTTTAAAATTTGTATCCTGCTGGAAACAATGTGCTGTAAAAGTTTTCACTAAAGGAAATTCAAGAAAATCACAAATAAAGCCATAAAAACAGTAAAAAAAAACATTTGTCTGGGCATTTTATACAGGAAATTCAAGACTACGGCCCAAAATTTTAACAGAGATGATAGCAGAACACTATTTAATCATTAGTTATTACATGTAATAAGTTTGAGAGGACTGGGTGTGAAAGCGAATGCAAAAACAGCATTCAAAACATAACACTTGCGTGCACAACGCTATAAATGATTACCCATAGAGCCACCTTAAAGTTAACCATAGTGCCATTATGTCAATTTTCCATTTTGCGTTTTAAAACGCCCAGGTTATTTCAATGTAATCACCTAGGCACCACTTTATACTCACTCTCTTTACGTCTTCACTCTCTTTTAGCCCGTTGACATTAGTGGCCAAATTAAAAAATCTGTTTTTATTGCAAACTACAAGAATGAGCCAAAGTTCCATGTCAGCGGCAAGCTAGGAGCAAAGATTGCCACAGAATTTGGAATAGATGTATCAGCTATAGATTCATTTACTATAAGCATGGATGTCGGAGATGTGATCAAAAAGCAAGTACATTGGGGTAATTTAAATGACGCACTAGCAGACATCACTTTGAATTTGGACCATGAATATGTCCAGTATATACTCTCCAAGCCGAGGAGAAGTCTATGTGTGATTTATGAAACAGTCGCAACACATGGAGATTCAGAGCTTGATTCAGATTCCAGTGGACAAGGTGTGTGTCATAGTTATACGAAATTTCATGAATGTGGTTGTTATGCACAAATTATAATACCGGTAATTGTATTTTATATGGTTACAAGTGATGTTTTGGAAGTTGTCAAAATTGTGTGATACTTAGCTTTCAAAGCAACTTTATTGACCATATAAATTGCACTGTCTTGCAGTTTGCACAAGTTTTTGCAAAATTTATGCAATTTAATTTTGCAGATGTTACAAACGTAACAGATGTGATATCAAAGTAGCAACAGACGTTTCATCTTTTAATTTGAATCTTTAGAGCAAGGATATTTTGTAGATGCAACAACAGTTCCTATTCAAATGAAAAAAAATTGATGCATTCACTGCTAACCTGTACTAACATGTACATGTGTGTCACGTTTATGTCATGGAGAGTGGCTTTCCCCATGAGACAGTAATTTTATATTATAATAATTATTATTTAGTAGAATTCTACTAGTATACTAATGCAAATAATGCTGTAATCTGATTGGCTGAGCCATTGAACACTATCAGCCATTAGTGTGCAGTGGCTGGAGGCCATCTCGGAAATGGCGACATTTTTTTCGTTTTTCCAAAGATTTGCAGGAAAATTTTGATGCAAATGGTTAAGTAAATTCCTGATAAGTGAAAATGAAGGACATTTGCGGTTTCTTGACAAAAAAACTGATGCGCGCGCACACAACTTCAATTTTAAATGATTTGACAATTCAATCCGAGTGACCTTTTGCAGGCGCAAAGTTTAATAATATGTCAAGAAATAACTGGAAACCACTATTTGAAGTAAATTTTAGTAAGAATTCTACTAAAACAATTGGGCCTCATTAACTATCACCTCATAGAAATCGAGAGCTCGTAATCTAATTGTTAACTAGTGCATAAAAAGGATGGTTAACCTAGCCAGGAAAACTGTTTCGATTTCAGACTAAATTTCTTCAAGTTAATAAGATAATTGTCTTAGAGTCATTAATCAATTTGAGATAATTTTTGTGTTCCTGTGTAATTAACCTGACCAGGCGATGCTTCCCTTAATGCTGGTAAACCTACATTCTCCATCAACTTGTCTGGATCTGTACAAGTGGCACACCATCGCTCATTTGAACTGCCCAATAACACCATACTTGGATATGCTTGCAATGAAATAACATTTGACTCAGCCATGGGAACATTTCAGTTGGTCCTAGCTGATGCCACAGATGGAGGAGGAATGAGCACTAGGGAGTGTTGCGTGTTTGACGAACCAGATGGTCAGAATGGTAAACAGCTTTGTCTCTAGAGTAACAATAATAATTTTAAGAGATCAAGACCTCTTCATACAAACTCATTTCTATCTGTAAGGGTGGGGGAGGAGGGATGGAAGAATGGTATCATGCAGGGATGAGGGGTTAAGGGGGGCTCCACTGGTCACCATTACTTTTTCTTTTTACTAATAGGGCAAATTTACTTGATGTAAAAAGAAGAATTTTTCTGTTAACCTGCTTTTGGGAATAGTCAGTTGATGCATTATTATTATCCATGTATGTCAAGCTCGTCTTGAGGTAAATCTGAGCATTCTTATTTGTTCTTTCTTGGTCAGGATTTGGTCATACGAACTGTCTCTATGGAAATGGTCATAAGCTTTTTTTTTTGTCAAATGTCAGGCCCAAATGCTACCTGCATATAATAAACTACTTACTAACCTAGCTTACTTGAGCTGTACTGGGGAACATTGGCCCTGGGTCGTTTTTGGACCCAACGCAGAAAGGTCCATACTGCCATGACCTCAGGCCAATATTCCCCAGTATGGCCCTCACCTTAAGTTTGTAAGAGGTTATTATTTTCCCTTGATAAGGAGAGGATTAACTGACTGTAGAGACTACAAGGATCTCTTTGCTAACCTCTGTGTATTTTAAATTTTTTTCATCTCCTTTTTATCTCAATTTGAAGACTGGGCATCGAGTAAGCACACAGCAAGATACATCTCTTTCCACAGCTAGTATCACAGAAAATTTAAATGCACTGTTCAACTTTAATTTAAGCTGGCAATAATTTGACTCAGTAGTGACATACCCGTATTTAATTATCTTCTTGTCTGATTTGTTTTCAGATAAAGCCCTGAAAGCTGTCTTTGATGACCTTCTCAACTCTCCACTCTGTTCCAAGATTTTTGATCTCTATAGGAAGATTCTTTCCTGCCCAGCAGCAGTTGCACCCCTGAGAGACCTGGTATGTTGACTGTGAAGTGCTGTTTTTCTGTCATCAGTGTATTATGTTGTTTCACATGGTTTCAACAAAACTTTCTTACTTGGGACAAAAAAAAAATCTGAGTCCCTGACAGGAATCAAACCCATGACCTCCCAAACACCGGGCGGGTGTTCTATCCCCTGAGCTATGAGAACTCATGGAGAGCACGGTCATTAACTGAGTTCATATGTGACAGGCGTTTTTCTACTCTTCATTTTTCGTGCCAGCAGGGAAGTTACTAATAGAGAGTGAGCTGGGGATAAGTAAGGGGTCTACCTTTGACTTGGGAACATTGTTTTTTTCTCGTAGTTAGTGTCGTTTCACAACACAACTTGATGTAGTTACTCCTCAAACTATTTTTTAATCATTTATTATAAAACAGCTAGAGAAAGGACTGTCCTCTGCTGAAAAGAAAAATCCCAAGCCATTTGAACTCAAAGAACTCAAGACCAAAGCAGGAGCTGCATATGAAAACTGCAAGGAACTGTTTCTTTTGTTAGGATTCAACATGGATGAGTCTGGAGATGGCAACATAACTTTTCCTCAGGGCAGTGCAGATGGTTTGTTACACTGTTGTACTGCTCTCACTGAAGCTCTAGTTGGTGAGTTCTAAATAAGATTGACCCTTCATAAGGGCATGTAAAATTAAATATTTTTTTTATGTATATGTAACTTATTTCATGACTGGGATGGCTGGGAGGGCCAAATAACAAATATCAGCCAATCTGATGGGGTTATTCCAGAAAAATCCATGCACCCCTGATGCATAGTATGCTAAAAATTCTAATAAGAAGGGGGTCAAGGACACTGGAAATCCAGTCAGGAGGGATGTCTTGGCTAAAAAGTGGTAAATTTGGGGTAACCTCAACTTTTTTTAGGTTTTGAAAGTTCAAGAAATTCTTTCACTAAATCAGCCATCAAGACTATGCGGTTTACCATGAGTTAATTATGGAGCTTTTTCCTTTAAGGGAGGATTTAAAATCTTTAGTATACAGTGTTGGGAACTAAATTTTGACAGCACTTGCCGTTTGGGCGAGAATCTCTCAAAATGTACTCGCCTAGTGTAATTTTCACTCGCTCAGAAAGATACCCCAGCTCCAATCTCTGGAACCGGTTATTCATGTGAGGCCTCCTTAAGATCATGGGCCGATTTTGACTCACATGGGTGAAAAGGCGAGCACTAATTTCCAACACTAAGTATATATACTGAAGAAGGTTATTTTTGAATACATAGAGTTATCAGCTCCTCAATGCCTTGCATTAAAAGAAGTGACTTCAGAATACCTGGAACCACTACTGTATCTGGTACGTTAATAACATGTTGTTGGAAATTTAACAAATAAAAAGCCTAAGATCTATCCAGTCCACGTACTATTTACCTGAAACAAGAATTTGAAGACACTTGAAATTTAGAAAACATGCATTCTGGCCTCTTGAGTAAGCTCCTCCCTTCCCCTTTTTTTGAGGCAGCAATTACAATTCTTCAATACATTAGATAGAAGATACCAGTTTTTAAATGTCTTCTAAATTGTATCTTATAAAAGAAGACTTTGAGAAGTACTCTTTGGATAACTTTGAATACTTAATACTCAGATTACATTGGTGTTTAAAAGCAAAATTATGTTATACAGTATTATAATAAAGTTATAATAACTTAGGAAGTGGTAGAGCACTCAAGAAGTAGGGAGAAACACTCAACTTCATCTCGTGTTTCCCCCTACATTTCTTTCTTGCTCTCCCACTTCCTGCTTTCTTTACAACAGTCGAGGCTTCTAAATTTGTTAAATAATAATTGAATATTACTTTTGAATAAGCATCTCCCTTGAATAAGTGCCATCCATCCCCCACCCACCCTCCACTTTATCCTAAATTTTAATCGGGGCCCTGGGCAGTAATTCAAGGATTTACAGTTATGTATCTTCTTCTTTTTTCAGCTCAAGAATGTTATGTACAGTAAGGACACATCAGTTGACGACCCACTGCTTCAGAGAGTGTGGACGCATTCTGCAAACCCTGCCAAGAATTTGCTTCTGTCATTAGGTTTTGACCAGGTGATAACAGAAGGGAACAATAAACTGTTACAGTTAACGTGGGACTCAGAACACATCTCTCTTGAGGATACTTATGTTGCGGTATTTGTTTTGTGTAGTGAATAATTTGTTAACTTTATTAAATTTTATTTGTACTCCTGTATATGAATTGATGTAAAATCCCATAAATGCACCACAAGAACAAGTTCTATGCAGCCAATCAGAAACAAGATCACTCCACCCGCCCTCTATGAGTTAGTTTAAATTTTGTTTCAACCGCGTGCTGCTATTAGGGCATAGTCTAATGATTGCTTCAAGGGTGAAACTCGAGTACATGTAACTAGTTTCTACATGACTGTACTGTATCTTCAATTTATCTTGCTCTGCATGACTATCGAGCACTCCTACAATTGTGTGAAAACACTTCTATTTTGCTTTGTTTATATCATGTTAGAGAGTTTTTTAAATTAATATTTTTTATTAAGGAAATATGTTATTGCTTAACACATTCTATTTCTGGGTTTAAGATTATAATCATGAATTTTGGGGGGGGGCAGGGTGGGGGGGAAAGGAACATTTTTATCTTGCTTTCGGTTTGTAATTTGTTTGACACAAGACATTCAATTAGTGGTTTCATTAATAGCTTAGCCAAAATATGGAAACATGTGTAGCTTGGCATATTTATATACCAAAGGAGACAACAGAGGACATAAATTAAGGTGCTATATACATACATTTTCACTTTACGTGACATTAGAGAAATATTATGAATGAATTACCACTTTGTGTTGAGGTGCATTGCCTTGAAGGATTTTAATTTCATTCATTAATAATTCATTGCAATGATAGCAATAGAATTTAATTTAATTTAAAGTGAATGACCATGATAATTTGCTTACAAAATTGGAATCTCCATGAGCAGAAGGGAAAGAGAGGAAATATTAAGTTATGGATACCAGAAAATGCTAGTTGCTGCGGAGCGAGCGTAGCGAGCAAGCAGCAACATAATCAGGATTTAAGAAGAATATATAGAAGGGGGTATGAATTCTAGAATTCATCACTTTTTACCAGAATGCATTGCAGTTAACCAGACTGCACTGCGCCACTTTTACCAGAGTGCATTACGCCTCGAACAACACGAGGATGTCATACTCGTCGAGCCGTCGTCCATTTTCGCGTGGATTCCACTGAGAAAGTTTGCTCTGATTTACCTGTAAAGTGATGTGAAGGGGATCGTGCTTGACTTTTACAACTCTTGCTATGTAGTATGTGAAAGTTTGTAAATCTGGACGATTAATTGTGACATCTTAATCTTAGTACGTCATTTCTTAGCAGTCTCGCCTCCTTCGTTGAATTCTTAAATGAAGAGAAATCGTCGTTACTAAAGCCTGTAGAATAATTAAAACAAACGAAAACCGTGGAACACGCTGATTTCATATATGCTGCAATCTATTCCTTTTCATCGAAACATGAATTTAAGCTAAAGCTTGGACATTTTCACACATCGCGATGGACACGTTCTCGACACAGTCTGTCAAGTTCTAGAGATATTTAATGCGTACCAGTACAGAATTTATAAGTTAGATTTCTGCTCCTACAATTTCCACATCT